ATGTGGGGTTGGAGGTAGCATTGGAAATATTGACTCGTTGTGTACGAGCGCCCAGGTGAGAGGTTATACAATTTAAAAGTTTGCCACCTATTCCGAAAGAGGACAGTTTCAAGAGAAGAAGAGCGTGGTCAACACGATCAAAAGCCTTAGTGAAATCGAAGTATACTGTGTAAAGTGCAAAACCACTGTCCCTAGATTGGAGAACATAGTCAAAGAAAGAGAGTTGACAGGTGTCACAAGATCGAAGGGGTTGGATTGCAGCCTGGCCTACGAGGACTTCTTGAATTTGCCCCCACGACCAATCTCCGAGGTCACGCGTTTAAACTGCGAACTCAGCAGGCAAGGCTGCATGTGCGGAAGTTTTCCTTCTCTGTTCGAGTGGTCAAACCATGGAATGCCTTTCCCGAAGATGTTTTGATGTCACCCTCTATACAAAGTTTTTAAAAGAATCTTGTTATATTTATCTTCCGAAATGACCTAGAGGGATGAGTGATCGAGCTCACTCCCTGTAACTCGTTCTCATTTTATCCTACCATTATGGGCGTGTTTTGACTACTTCAGCGCGGAACATTTATCTGTATGCCACACATTTTTTACGTTGCTACTAGGGTACTCAAAGGCTGACGCCTATTTGCGTCAATACACTGAGCTGAAATGAACTGAAATGGGCTTAGACTTCCTTATAGATAAAATATCTGCCGATCATAAACGAAGACAGATACATGCAACTGTTCTTGCGATAAGTCGAAAAATGTCTTTTACGGGATCCTGAAGTCATCAAATTCAATCGATATGGGCGATTCCATGAGACAAACGCTGAAGAAGTAGTCAAGTGTCGTATCAGAGATAACGTTGTCGACTTCAGAAAGCACGCGCCTATCAATTTTCATTCGTCTGTGTCATCCGAATGCTACTGACATAAGCTATGCTGCTGCCTACCAAAAATCGCGAAATTTTCCGTCTTACAATAAATTTTTAGAAATATGAATTCAGTGAGGCCCTATACAGTCCCAGTAAAGGCAGGATACTTTGTTGACAGGGAGGACGTGTATCGGAGTGAATGTAGAACACTTTAGTTTACTGCTGAACAACTTCCAGGGATTAAACGATATTCTGGCCCAGTAAAAATTCTAAGGAGAAACGCAAGAAAGTTATTCAGAGACTACATAACACATAAGCCGTGCTAAATTAGGCGCCAGGAGCATAGGCTTCTTCTTGTGCTGTTAGCGGAATCCATTTGTCGATGTGACCATTATAAAAGTGCATACTGGTTGTTAAGCCCTGCCGTGATCACAAGAGAATGCAAGATGTCCGTCATAAGATTGTTTGTTGTTTCTTACACCTGTAGTGTTGTATGCATATTTCCTACCTGGACTCAAGAAACCACCTGACCGACCACTTGTTTTGCTATTTAAGGCGCGAAGTTAGCCTAACGTACTCATAGCCCGGGATAATCGTTTTCATGGCTGAGACAAAGAGTGGCGATAAGGTCCTTGCCGAGGTGCAGAAGTTCGACAAGGACGCTCTCAAACACGTTAAGACAGAGGAGAAGGTGGTACTTCCAGACAAGAAGGGTATGCGGTTAAATTTTGTCAATATTCCCTAGATATCGAGAAGGAAAAGACTGAAGTCAGCCTCCGGCAGGAAATCGAGCAGGGAAAGGATCTAAAACACGTGCAAACTCAAGAGAAGACTGTCCTCCCAACCAAACAAGGTTAGTATGTAGTTATAAATTGTCGTGACATTGTTGACTACGTAATCTGATTATCAATACACGCTTTTCGGTACATGGTGTCGCTAGGCGGTGCCGCCTATAAGGCGCTTTCGTCTCCAATCCCTGCTGGCCTTGGCGCGTGCACCTAGACGCACTAGCCGCCTGACCTTGTTGATCATGGTCATTCGATGAATGTTGCTGCCTTTTCCTTGTAGATATCGAGGCCGAAAAGAAGTGCAGTTGATAGAGACGCATTCTGAACGCTTGACAATGGATTTTCCAGTACTCAAAATCATTGATTTCCAGCGTTTTATTATAACCGCCTAATAAATCATGTCTTCATAACTCTCTCCCCTC